TATTTTCCTTTTTACAACGAGTATGTATTACCTCTGTAATTTAAAACAAAGAAAGGATAAAAAAATATTTAAGAAGTTGAAATTTGAACAAATCAACAGTAGAAAAACATTTACAAGATCATCAGGGGAAACAGGGAAACATGACCACTGACCAGATATTTGATACTATTAAAGGGTTACTGTTCACTGCTTTAAAGACTGATAATGATACCATAAGGAGCCCTGGTGGTGCAACGGTTAAGCGCTCGGCTACTAACTGAAAGGTTGGCAGTTCGAACCCACCCAGAAGCTCTGTGGAAGAAAGACCTGTCGATCTGCTCCCATAAGATTACAGCCTAGGAAACCCCATGGGACAGTTCTACTCTGTCACATCAGGTCACCATGAGTCGGAATTGACTCGATGGCACCTAACAACAATGATGACATCATGGATATGTTTTTCAAAAGAGTCCTTGTCTTCTACAGACACATACTAAAATATTTAATGAAATGGTATGAGGTTGGTTTGGAATTTGCTTCAAAATAATCCACATGGGGAGAGTGGGGTACAGGTGGAACCCAACTGGCCGTGAGTTGGTAATTGTTGAAGCTGGATGATGAGTATGTGAGAGTTCATTGCATCACTCTCTCTACGTCTGCATGTTTGAAGCTTTTCATAATTAAAAAAAGTTAAAGACAAAAGATAAAGTGTTATACCATCTTTGGCATGAGGCAAGCCTGGGTTCAAATTCAAACCTTACACATATTGAAGTATTTGCAGATGAGATAATACTATGTCTAGGATTTGCCTTAAGTACTCCAGAAAAACAAAAAGCAGTGGGGCAGAGATGAAACAAGATGAATAAAATGTTGCTGCAAGGTGATGGATATTACTATTCTCTTCTCTGTATGTATAAAGACATTTTGAAAATTTCCTTGATAAATGAGAAATGTTCAAATCCTCGTTGGTGTGTCACCCTTGTACCTTACCCATCTCTCTGAACTTTAGCTTTCTCATGGCCTGGCACATAGTAAGTGCTCAATACACAAAAGCTGTTACTACTGCTGCTGTTTTGCAGCTGGTCTGCTCTGTCACTCAGCATCAGCTGATGCTCATTTCCCCTTTGTCCCCCAGAGAAAATGCAGTGCCTCATACCCGAGGTGTCCCTGGGTGGCTCTCAGAAGGACAGAGTCTACAGGCAGTGTCTTTACCTCCAGCTGGAGCACATGGAACATGAGCTGCGGCTGCTGGGGCCCCGTGGCTTCCCCCAGCACCAGAGCCATGCCCGGGCCCTCAGGCAGCTCCAGACCCTGAAGGACAACCTGGGGGGACAGCCAGGCATCCCGGGCCCAGCACGCCCCAGGTAACCCATTTCCCTGAGTGCCAAGTGGTTGCCTGCCCTCTCCAGCCCGGGGCCTGTAAGGTGATGGGGAAAGGGCATCCTGGGCCACCCAGGGAGAATGCTTACCCAGATCTCCCCCAAGGAGAAGTGAATCAGGATTCCTGCATCATTTCAGGGAGGAGGTGTTTGAAATAAGGTCCTGGCTGGTGCAAACCATTTGTGCTGGACTACTAACCTAAAAGTTGGTGGTTTGAACACACCCAGAGACACTGAGGAAGAAAGGCCTGGCAATATGCATCCATTAGGCTTACAGCCAAGAAAATCCTATTAAACAGTTCTACTCTATAACACATGGGGTTGTCATGAGTTAGAATCGACTTGACAGCAGCAGCTTTGGTTTGTTTGGTTTATTTGCCAGAAGACAGTTATGGCTCTTTGTATAGCACTTTGCAGTTTATAAGCATTTTTATGTGGGCCGCTTCCTAGCCATGTGCCCTTGGGCAAGTCCCTCAACCTCTCTGAGCTTCAGTTTCCTCAACTGTAAAATAGGAATAATAACAATACCTACAGCACAGTGGTTAAAGCTCTGG